GGTCTTCCAGCTCACATCGTAGGAAAAATCGTAGACATTGTGACTCTCCAATCTTTTTTAGCATCTCATTTCCTAAATGTAGTTCACACCTATGTTGATTTCATATCAAGTCATTTTTGTTTTCTTTTTCCCCGATATGAATGTTAGAGGCATCGGTGTTGCTGGTGAGATGTTTGGCCTTTTGTTCTTCGTGCTGATGGCGCACACCGCTTATGGAGACGTGAGCTATTCTTTCAGGACGCAGCGGGACATTTCTGAATCTGACAGCATGAAACAGAACCTTATTGTGTCCGTGAGAGATAACGGACAGCCCTCTCTCTCAGCCACGTGCGCATTATATTTACTTATATCAGATAACTTGGCTGAAGTTCCAGAACTGAAAGACATGTCTCGCGACGAGAGCAGCTCCAAACTGACGTTTTATTTGATCATCGCGCTGGTGTCCGTTTCCACTTTCTTCCTGACCTTCATCATCATCATCCTGGCCGTGAGGTTTTGTCGCAGGAGAAAGCCCAGACTGTTGTTTGATGGAGCTGTAGCCATTCCCAGCGCGTATCTTCCTCCAAATTACGCAGAGGTGGAGGGCGCGGGAACTCTCCGCAGCACTTACAATTATGACGCATACCTGACCACGGGCTCGCGCACTAGTGACTTCAAGTTCGTCAGATCTTATAATGAGGGCACGCTGACTGCTAACCTGACTCTGAACAAGACTCAGTCCTCAGTGGATGATCTTGAAGGATTCGATGCGGAAATGAACGATTCGTTTCAGGTAGGACTAATAAAATCGCTTTTTTAAATAATGTGTGTGTTAACAGATTAAATGTGTTCATGTACTAAATCGACTTTCATTGGCAAGACACGCTGTTCTTGTAAAAAGTCTCGTGACACATTTAAGAACTTTGTTTTAGACAAACATTGTAAGGGGCAATTTGGAATCAGAAAGTACTTTGGTATTTTTATCATTTATTTCTAGATGTGTATGGTCATGTTTGAGCAATTATTAGTTAAGCTATCTTTCACAAATTGTTGTTTGGTGAGCTTGCATAGTAATCCATGTCTGTCTTCTGTTAATTAATAGTTCTTAGGGTCATCTTAACGTTTTGTCTTACATCCATTTTTGTGTCCCTCTAGTTTCTGTCGTTTGTAATTGAATGACGATTTGCGTTTCTCTCATCGACGCCTCAGTTATGTGAAGTTAACTAAGTGAATTCAATTCAGATACCAGTAATATTTTGGCCAGCAAAATCTATTAAAACTCCGTTTCAGTCAGATTGGAAATAGCAGTGTATGTTTCTCCTGTTGCTGTCCATGGTGCTACACTGGTGTGTACTGTTCTGTGGATTGTTGCTCCTACATAAGTAAAGTAATCTATATCCTATTTCTTATTTTCGAAATGCTATGAATATTGAGATCATGTTTATGTGCCTCCGCTGGGAAATTGACGAATCGAAATTTGTAGGATGATTAATGATTGGCCTGTTTTTGTGATTGTTTTATTGCTTTGTGGTTTTACATTTTTAAGTTTGAATTCGATGTATTTTGAATGGAATGGGAAAGTACATGTTGATGGTCCCTTTCTTGTTAATGAAGTAGACCATGGCGTATTGCTGCGCTTTCTCTGAGATATAAGTGTATTTTTATGCTCTGAAACGTTACAGATAGGGTGATTCGCCTTTTTAAATCATGATATTCTCGATAGTGAGAAGAAAATTTAAGTTGGGACCTATTTGTCGTTTATAGTTTTGTTTTATTGTATTTTTCTCAATTTAGTCCTGTGTAACCCCTGTCCTTTCATTAAACGTTTCTGCTTTTCAATTAAGTAAGAAAACAATTTGTGAATTATTCATGTTTGAAATCATTTCTCTTCCGTGGCGCGCTTAAAGATTGACGTTTAGCACTAAGTACTTTTCTGTAAACATTTCGTGGTGCAAGGCGTGCATCAACATGCAAATGGTATCATATTTTCTCCTGTGTCAATTTTTAAGTCGTGTGATATTTCCAGTTGCACAGTTGCTTTGAAACATTTCAGGTGTGTTAAGTTAGTGTATTTCAGTTTTTTCCCCTCAGATAATGAGATCTTACTAATTACTTAAGCATAAAATAAATATTTGGTTAATTTTTAGAGCGTCTGATTAGAGGTCTAAACACTGTGCAATAGCTAACTATAGTATGTCATGCTACAGAGGCTGGAGCGGATTTTAAACGGGGATTGAAGGAAGAGAAAGGATTGTACTCATACAACACACATTTACTCATATATTCTTCAAAATAAAAATAATGTAGGCTCTCTGTTTAATTGTGAAAACTGCCACAGGATCGCATAATATGTCTTGCAAACTGGATTTCGTGATTGTTAGATTTTAAGATGTCATACCAAGACTACAGTTGGTTGTACTCAAAGGTAGGCTTTGATGCGTTTAACTTATTGTCTGTGATGTTGAATACATTTTTTCGTGCCATGGGCAAACTGCGAAGTATCTTGTAAATGTGATTTTTTTTTTACTTCTCTTTTCATATCCTACAAGTATGTTTTAAACTACAAGTATGCCATTTTATGTGCATCGTAAGTGTTATATTCAAGTTGTACATGTCAGAAGGGGCATGAGGGTTTCTGCAGTTTCATAATTTAACTCTTAGTGTCGCTGTTCACCAGTGCAATCTTTGACGTTCATATTGTTTCTCTCCATCCTGTTCATGATGTCATATATTGAGAACTGACCTCTCAGCTCGCTGTAAATCGTCGACGGTGAGCGGTGCATTCCTCTATTGTCCTCATATATCGACCATAAACTAAATTCAGTAATTTCATCTGGCTTTACATGCTGATAACTTCAATACATTTTTGTTGATTTTCATATAGATAGATCAAAACCTTACGCGTTGCTGCTGAGATGTTTGGGTTTTTGTTCTTCGTGCTGATGGCGCACACTGCTTATGGAGACGTGAGCTATTCTTTCCCGGAGGAGATGAAACGCGGATCTGTGATTGGAAATATAGCAAAGGATCTCGGGCTAGATGTAAAGAGTCTGTCAAGTCGTGATGCACGAATTGATAATGAAGGTAACAGAAAACGGTACTGTGACATTAATACGAATACCGGAGAACTGATTGTAGCGGAGAAAATCAACAGAGAGGGAATTTGTGGGAAGAAAGCTTCATGTGTTATTAAACAGGAGCTAGTGCTGGAAAATCCGTTGGAGCTACATCGATTTATTCTTAATATTCAGGACATCAATGATAATTTACCACAGTTCAAACTAAATATAATCAAATTCGAAATAAGGGAATCAGCAGACAAAGGATCACGCTATTTATTAGATGAGGCCCACGACGCGGATATTGGTGTAAATTCAGTGCAGTCATATACATTAGAAAACAACGAACATTTTCTTCTTAGTGTTCTTACAGGGGTAAATGGAGTAAAATATGGAGAGCTGGTTATTAATAAGGAGTTGGATCGTGAGAAGCAAAATGAAGTAACATTAATTCTCACTGCGGTAGACGGCGGGACTCCACCGAGATCAGGTACTGTAGCCATACACGTCACTGTGCTGGATGCTAATGATAATGCTCCAGTCTTTAGTCAGGCCGTCTATAAAGTCAGTCTGCCTGAAAATTCTCCTCTAGATACTGTAGTGGTGACAGTGAGCGCTACTGATGCTGACGAGGGACAAAATGGAGAAGTGACATATGAATTTAGTCATTCATCAGAAAGTCTTTTGGAAATATTTAATCTCGATGCAGTGTCTGGTGAACTTAAACTAACAGGTATCATAGATTATGAGGAGGAGAGTACAATTGAACTGCCGATTCAGGCTAAAGATAGTCAAGGTCTAGCAGGTCGATGCGCTGTGTTAATAGATGTAATTGATGTCAATGATAACACCCCTACCATAATGACTAAATCTGTTAAAATCTCCATTCCTGAGAATGCGTTACCCGGTACAGAGGTTGGGGCGCGGGAACTCTCCGCAGCACTTACAATTATGACGCATACCTGACCACGGGCTCGCGCACTAGTGACTTCAAGTTCGTCAGATCTTATAATGAGGGCACGCTGTCTGCTGACCTGACTCTGAACAAGACTCAGTCCGCTGTGGATGATCTTGAAGGGCTTGATGCGGAAGTGAACGATTCCTTTCAGGTAGGACAAACGAAGTCTTTCTTCAGAAATGTTTGTACTATTTTTGGTTTACAGATTTCTTTTTCTTTTTCTTTTTTTTGACAACATGCTTTCTAATGGTTTTTAGAAATGCTAAATTTATTGGATCCCTCTTGTTGTCTGTTATCTGAAACATTGTTATAAAGTACTTTAAATTCGTATTTCATTTTAAATCCCAGTTCACTGCAGTTTAGTAGAAAGGGAATATTTCTATTAGTTGTCCATGGTGCTGTACAGGCCGTGTGTGTTGCTGTTGACGTGTTGCTGAAGACCTAGTAAGAGTAAATGTTATAATTAATGTGTTTCTCTTTACACATCCTTACAGAATGTTTGGTTGTTCCATGCCCTCTAGTAATTTAATTTTCAACAAAGCTGTTATGTTCATGTTTTTTTTTTTTTTTTTTCATTTAACGTCAGACCTATAAGAGTTTATGGATGAGCTATAATCACAAATTTAAATTGTCTTCTATACATAGATTATTTATAAATTGGTTACATTTGTGGTCTTGTGATTTCTGGACTTGATGCGGACATGAATGCTGCTTTTCAGTCGAATTAACCGTTGCTGTATTTTATTCGATCCTTACAGATTAAACATGTATCTGTATTTTAATAGACTGCTTTCACTGACAACAGGCTCATAAAGATTTTGAAGTTTATTTTTAAGTCTGAGGAGTAGTTCTATTTATAATTTATCTTTAGATTTTGCTGTTCATATTTGAGCAATTTCAAGGATCCTGTTTCACGAGTCGTTGTTTACGTATTAGATTTTTTCGTCGCTAGCTAAAGAATTCTTTATAGAAATTATGTCATAATGACAATTTTAAATACAACTTTGTCACATCTAATAATGAAGGTACGCTGACTGCTAACCTGACTCTGAGAAAGACTCAGTCTGCCGTGGATGATCTTGAAGGGATTGATGCGGAAGTGAACGAATTATTGGCCA